TCCCCTGCACCCAGGTGAGCGCCTGTCAACCCTCTCACCTACAGGTGTATCTTCCCTCTCACACCTTTCCTGAAACACCACCCTCCTTGGTAACCTCCACAGTCTGTTATCTTGATCTTGTTGTTTGTCCTTTTATGACAGTGGTGTCATACAATATTTGTCCTTTTGTGACTGGCTAATTTCACTCAGCATATAGTCCTCCAAGTCTACCCATGCGTCTCGGTTTCATCATTATTTTTCAGTGATGCATAGCATCCCACTGCACAACACATATATTTAGTGGACACAATTCAATCTTTAACAATGATCACTTCTATATCCTTTTGGCAGGGGTGGTGATTCATAAAAATTTCTAGGAGCAATATGACAGTATCAACATTTTAAGAATGATATCCTTTAAATAAACCATCTTGTTTTTATCGGTGTATTTAACTTATAGCTATGGTTACACAAGTGAAGACAATATACAAGAATTTCCTAAATCGAGACAATAGTGACATTGTAAATGACCAGAATAGAATTTAATAGGGTAATGAAAATAAATTATGATGCACCCTGTGGTAGTTACATGATCTGGTGTCAGTTTGGGACTTGTGAGGATTAAGAGTTAAGGGGTGGAGGCTAGTCTGTCAATCAGGTCACAGTCAATGAGGCCTCTGTGGGCCTGGCCTTCTCCTGACAATTCTGGGAACTCCTGTACTTTCCTCCTTGAAAATGAGAAGCACTCTCTCTCTCTCTGCTCACTCCCTTGAAGACTCTCTACTGACAAGCCAACTCCCTGGGAGACATCCCTGAGAAGCCACACAGACTTACCCTGATGCAACCAGACCTCTGGAGCCAGGGAAGCCATGTAGAGACCCCTGCCAGCACTGAGATGCTTACAGTGCCACTGGATCCAGAAGACGTCCAACCCACTGGCCTGTGATCTTCCTGCATTTGACGTTATTGCATGTGTTTCATGAGTCTGAAGAAGACTTTATAGATTGGTATCAGACAAATGGGCTAATATCAGACTTATGGAATTAGTCTGGACAGGGCTGGAATGTTTTCTCAATATTCAATTGCTCTTGTATATAAACCTCTTTCTTATTCACATATGAGTTCTATGAATTTGTTTCTCTAGTCGACCCAGATTAACACAACCCTTCACAGTGGACTACCATTATAAGATTGAGTTTGATTTATATGGCTGACCTGGAAAGATGTCTACAGGGTTGAGGGAGTAAACGGGGAGGGGTCAGCATATACCACAACCCATTAGACCACTACCTAGGAGAGTTTGTCATTCACTCAACCTTCTTTCCAGCCATCAGGGCTTGTTTTGTCTACAGATTTGAAACAAACTCCCACAGGTGCTTGTATATGAGTGTATATATGCCTATAGATTCAAAAGATACATTGAGGAATTGCCTTCGTTAAAAAAAATGTTGTTGGGTTTCGTCACTAAAATGTGACTCAAATCCAGGCCACTAAGGATGTTTGTAAAGGTGATGGTGAGCTGAGGGTGGTGAGCCCCTCCTCACTGGAGGGTGGTTGATCTTGCCTGATTGTGATTTGAGGGTGTGTCCCCACACTGAGCCCGTTTCCGCTGCTCCTTTATCAGTGAGGCTCTTCATGGAAAGAGCTACAGAATAGGGTCAGAGTTTGGGGAACAGTCTCCTGGCCTTATTTCCAGACTCAGTTTTTATTTCCCCGGGCCACTGGGCAGGTGACACGACCGCTCTGGTTTTATTCTGTGGAACATGGTCTCTATTATAAAACGCTCTGTTGTTTCGGTCTGCTGTACTTGGATCACTCTGAGTCAGAATTGACCAGATGACACCTGTGTTAAGCCAGGTGGACTAAAGAAAAAAATCCAATAACCTATGTATAAGAAAGCGCTTTATATCAGAAAGTAATTCTATATCAAGAAAACATCCCAGCCCGGTCCAACTCAAGTCCTTCAGTCTAATCATAGACCATAGGTCCCTCTTCAGACTCATGCAGGCATATGCAATGATGCAGAAAGCAGGAAATCACAGGCTGGTGGGGGCAAAGTCATGTGGATCCAGCATCTGTGGAAATATGGTGGGACTCCAGCAGCTTTCTAGGTGACCAGCAAGCAGGAAGGTGAAGGCAGAGAGAGAAAGAGAGAGAGACCTCCAGAGAGGTACATATCATGGTGACACCTCCAAGTGGGATCATCAGGCTGCCACCTGATTGGCAAACTGAACTCCACCCCTACAGTTTTATATATCTTCAAGTTGACATGAAATGACATCACTACCACCGGACCCAACCAAAGCAGTCTATTATGAATGCACTACTCCTATTTCCTTTAGGAAAATTCCCCTTGACCCCATTGCTCTGGACCCAAAGGGAGTCAGCTAAGCTCAAGCCAGGGAGCAGAGAGACCTCCCCTGTGGGCTCTGCCCAACCATCTGCGTGACTCTTGGATGCCCCTGTGATGTTGTTAGGCATGAGCACTGGCCAGATACAGAGATATGGAGAGTGAGCAGAGGCGCTGGAAGAAAGGCCCCAGGGAAGCTAGAGGCACCAGTCCCCAGGGGCTAGGAACTGTCCTGTGCCTCCTCAGAGGCCTACGCAGGGCCCACGACAGAGTTCTAGCATAGCAAGTACTTGCTGAGTGAGTGAATGAATGAATAGCTGAATGCATGGGAAGTCAGCAGTCAGAAGGGAAGAGCATGGTGACTTGGGACTAGCAGTAGCAGACACAGAGCAGAGAGTGGCTGTTTCCTTAGTAGCTGAATGCAGAACAACCCAAACACTCGCCCGGGTTTCATGCTCACCACAAGTGCCTGGCAAGGAGCCCCAGTGGCACAGTGGGTTAAGTGCTTGATGGCTAATGGTAAGTTCGGCTGTTCAAACTCAGCAGCAGCTTGCTGGGAGAAAAATGAGGCTGTCTGCTTCTGTAAAGATTTGCCACCTGTGGAGGCCCAAAGGAACAACTCTCCCCTGTCCTATAGTGTCACGGTGAGTTGGAATTGATTAGATGGCCGGGGGTCCCTGTGCCAAGTGTTTGGTGGTTATGAAGAGTTGCCGGGGG